ACACACGTGTACTTGATACCAAATATATAAAATAACTTACTTAAAAGCTAGTTAAATACCAACTATTTACAGAATACAAATAATGGAGCGATTATTCTATTTGTTTCGCCTACCTTGTCTTTTTTGTCCTGCCTCGCATAAGGAAAACAAGGTATCACCGCTGTTACTCGGGATGCAGAAGCAATTTTGCAAGCGTTGATCATGATGAGAAGTTCCATAAGATTATCGTTCACTTCGCCGCTTCCACTTTGCACGATGTAGACATCTTCCCCACGGACGGATTCTCCTATCTCCACGCTAAAACATGATTAAATCTTGCGTTATTTCCTGCAATCTTAAATGAAAAACAGTAGAATATGAGTGAGATTCTCGGTTAGATAATTTTTTTAATAACTAGAGAAAGTACAAACTAAAAATCCGAGTTAATATCTGCAGGATATCGATGCGTACTGCTTAATGTGAGCTGCGGAAAAGAACGGCGAGATTTTTCTCATTTATTATCTGTGGCGTCGACGTGATCGTCGTGATCTCTGCGTTGGGTGGCATTTTGCGAGCTCAGAAGGAGCGAATCTCATGAGTGCACGCGGCTCCGCGAGTTGTATTCGTTTCGAGAAACGTCGTGGCGCGGATCGAAACGTCGCGGCACGTGTCCATCGAGTTAGAAAAACGGTTTAGAAGTCGTAGAACGATCAGCGAGGTGAAGCGAAATCGGGCACGAGGGAACAGAGGTAGGTACCGAACGCGGAGCATTGTTGATTGTTATCCCGCGTATTACGACGGAATAACGCGGAGGCTGTGCGTTGCGGAGGAGGAATAACGTAGGAAGAAGAATAAGGCAGGCTAGAAGGAGAATGCGTGAAACGCGACGGCGTTCGTTTGGTGCGACCAAGTTCGCCGTATAGGAATCATACTATCACACAACCCACGCGCGACGACACGTGGTCTTGTGACTGACAATAAAAACGTGGTTGCGGTTCGTAGCGACCATTACCATGTCTCAAGGTTGCTGAATTTCTTGGTGACAACCTTGCCGATGTCGATGCCGAGGCGGTCGACGATCCGCTGGGCGAGATCTGGATGCGAGGTCCCGCTGAAGACCTTGATGTTGGGCATTCTGCTCTGTAAGACTCGCGCGCGTGAGTTTTCCAAGTTTGCGCGTAACAAACTCTTAGCACGTACTGGCTGCGACACAGGCATCACTACAACAGAAAGCACCGGGGCGGTCGGCCAATCGGTGATCGCGCGCACACCGGACGTGACGTCGCTGGATCACGCTCCGCCTACGCGCACGCCGCACGAGGATATCGGGACATTGGGATTGGATATACCTATATCTCTATCTCTATGTCTATACCTATATCTATATCTTACAGTATCTTGCAATTAGCGCGTTGACGATTGAACGAGCTGAACGGAGCTGAACGGAGCGGGGCTTCGTTATCGCTTAGCTTAGACGCTTATCCCGCATTCCGTTCGCGCATTTCCTCTCTCTCCATCTCACACGGAAAATAACTATCTTTGATAAATTGGTTTTATCGAAGATATGCTTAATGGCCGCCTTCCAAACTGCTTGCGTAAGACCGGTATCAGACTACGCATTCAAATCGAAAATGGAGACTGAAGATTGAAATTTGATCAACCAAAACGAAAGAAGCGATAAAATTTCTTCCTTCAAGTATCTGTGTATCGCTCGAATATCTGGATTCCGATCTTAATCTTACAAATGTTTACCTTACATCGGATTGTTTTTATTCTCTATCAAGTATAGTATAAGGTGACCCCTTAAGGAGGGACATAAAAGAAAATTTTTTCAATATTACTTAATTAAATTTTAATAGATGAATATTTTCTTATAATTGTTTAACTGATACAATATTATATATATTGTTATATTCGTAAATAACTAATAACACTTAATGTGTGACATTACAACAAAAGTTACATCGAATTGAGTTATGAGATATTACATTTCATTTTTTTTTAATTGTAAAATTTTCTACTGAATATTTTTTGCGGATATTTGAATTTTTAAATAAACAAATCAATAAAGCTGAAAATAATATTTTACACTTATTTTCGATCACAGATTAAAAGAAGATTCACAATTAATAATCGTGTCCTTAATTTGGGAGAAAATTTGGGACGCGTCTGAAAAGAAAAATAAGACGACCAGATTGAAAATTTCGGACTGTCCCTCCTAATTCGGGACGGTTGATCACCTTACTTGACCGATTTTACGACGAGGTGGTCGCGCTCGTGCTTCCACCGGTTCCACCAGTTGTTCCACCCCTCGTGCCGATAACTTTAATCACGTTGATTCCGCGAGCGGAACGTGCAGTGATTACGATTTCGATCCTCGCATTCGTCGCACGTGCACACGTGCCGCCCTTGTCAATCATCGGGGATCGGGGCTGATCGGGGCACATTGGCGCAATAGCGTAAATCAGCATAAATAGCGCAATTGGGCGCAAAATACAAATGGCGACGCGTAGTCAGCGCGGCCTGCGGTCAGCCGAGCCGGCGGTGAGCGGGCTGCGCGGCGCGACGTGAACCTAGACGAAATTCAAAAGGGGCGGGCGCGAGAGCGGTGAGCAAAGGGAGAGAGAGAGAGAGAGAGAGAGAGAGAGAGAGAGCGCGCGCGAGTGATAGTCAACTTTTGCACATTGATGTGGCGCCGCGCCGGTGGCTGCCGGTGGCGGCGAGTCGAACGACAAGTCGCGTGTATACGTGCGCGGTGGTGCGCGGCGGCGGCGTGATTTCGTAGATACGGCAACCGTTGTAACGGTTACTGGGTTAGGTGGTTAGGGTGTAGGGACGTTAGGGACGAGTCCGGGTGAACGCAGGCGAAGATAACGGACTTGGGTGCAGGTGCACGGGATTCATCGATTCGCATTTAGCATTTTGCATTTCGCAACATTCGCGTGGAGGACACTACGCGCGACGCGACGTGACGCGACGCGACGCGACGCGACGCCGCCAACGTGCGAGGAAACGCGTCGCAGGGCACGAGCTCGCTCGTTCGTCCTCGTCCGAATGACAATGACAACGTGCTAACCGTTTTAGATGATTCGGGAGCCATGGCGAACATCGCGGCACAGCGAATCAAACGGGAGTTCAAAGAGGTTATAAAGAGTGAGGAGGTGAGTGAGCGGCGTCGAGTGTCGAGTCGGTCGAGTCGAGTCTCGGGCAGCCGGAGCAAGCCAGAGTTCGCGCGTACCTGTCCCTGATGCCCGCTCGCAATCCTCGCGATAAGCCACGACAATGGCACGCGTATCGCGATATTACGCAATCCCCGCGATCAGGATCTAGCACACGCGGTCGTCGACGAATCCAGACGAATCTGTTCGATAGGCGATATGTGACAGGAGAGCCTGTTGCTCGTCGCGCAACTCGCGAGTCGCAAATCGCAACCCGACAGTCACTCGACTGTCACTCCTACCCGTATTTCTTGTCTTTCGTCTACCTACTTCTAGAATCTAGAATATGCAGAGAGAAAGAGAGCTCAACGCATTTCTGTCAATATCGAATTGTACCGCTTGCGACGTAACGCGTGTTGTAATGTTGCGATATGGTAATTGGCATCTCCTTGTCCGATGTTGACGTCGACGGTCTAATGAAAATATGCTCGCTCGAGGCTCGAGTATGAGTGGCTCGATTCGACCGTACTCACCACGATGCGCGTGTGTAGATCCGGGATCTCGGCCGCACTGGGAGGCATTGCACTTTTTCAGATTGCTCATTTCTGCCCTTCTCGCATTTAATACATCCGTCCCCGATAATACTTGCACGTGCTTTCGGACGGCTGATTTACGCCGAGGCGTAAATACTAAATAATCGCGACTAAGGCCGTACCATGACAGTTTTGTATATTATTATGAATTCCGTTATTGTGAAACGATCGAGATTTCTCTTATCATGCCTCGGATGTCATAGGACATAGGTTATGATTACATGTTTATTTTGATAATTGTACCGCGAGACTGATGTAGTACCACACACGAATTTTACGAGGGAGCATAATTTAGCAATGTGTTTTCGTCGCGGTTCTATTATCTCGTTCTTTTATCTATCATCACTATCATCACATAACTGAAATGTTTTTCTGCCTGGGGAAACGATTGGGATGCGATTGAAAAACAAGTGTCGCGTACATCATCAAAACTGTCTGAAATATTGCTGCGCTGCTACGATTTCTTAATGCTCAATTGTTTTCTTTAAATAAACCGCTTCGTCTTTACTTTTCTAATCAATACGTCGTTTGCTATTAATTTGTTCTCCAAGTTGCGATTTTTACAACTTAATTGTTGTATTGCCGTATCTATATATACCTTCCAAATATATATAAATGAAGTTGTAAAATATGTTCTTATCACAAACCCTTAATAGATTTGATTTCTAATAAATTAGTACATGTAACAGTTTGGTCACAAACATATTTATTCATTAATTTGAATTTAAGAAATCTTAACATTTAAATTACAGATTTTTTTTTTATATAATATATCTTACAAATTATTTCCATTTTGCTTAATCGTGTCTTCGTATGTAGTTGTTTTATAAGTTTCGATACACTGTACGTTCAAGTTGTTACATATTATACATCTATAACATATTTATAGCAACTTGGTCATCTAATACTTTATTTATTTAATGTTTATAATAGATAGCAAAATGTGCGATTAAAGTAGAATTGGTCAACGATAGTCTTACCGAATTAAAAGGAGAGATTGCTGGTCCACCAGACACACCATACGAAGGTGGTAACTTTGTGCTCGAGATCAAAGTTCCCGAGACATATCCATTTAATCCTCCCAAAGTAAGTTCTTAAAAATAATTTTAAGAATGTAAACACACGTTTTGTTAATACTTGTGTAGCAAGCGTAGCTTCTAAAAAATTTCTGTTATCTATTATTACAATATAATAATATAACAAAGTACTTATAACACATAAATACTATAAATCTTATTACTTTATTGATTTTCATAAATTGACGACACATATATTATCAATATATTATGTCTTCAGTGTAAATTTGTATACTGTATTTTAAATATTCATAATAGATAAAATAAATTTCAAATTTTTATAAATAAATTGTCAAAAGTTTTGTATTACATAAAATTTGTATTTTGCAGGTACGTTTTATAACAAAAATATGGCATCCCAATATATCTTCTGTTACTGGTGCCATATGTTTGGATATTTTGAAAGATCAGTGGCATGTATTTTTATTATAAATTTATTAATTAAATTATGAATATTTGTATATCAAAAACTTTTATTTAATATGTTTTACAATTTTTTTTACTGAAAGAAAAGATATTTGTTATTTATTATTTATATACTTGATTATGTATTTACATATTTTTTTAAATTTTATCTTGTGACTTTGTTGTATGTAATGTAGTTATACATCTGTAAAATAATCTCGTCTTTATTATTATATTTAAGGGCTGCCGCTATGACTCTGCGTACGGTACTGCTGTCACTTCAAGCGTTATTATCTGCAGCAGAACCTGATGATCCTCAGGATGCAGTAGTCGCTAAACAATATAAAGAACATCCTGAATTGTTTCGTCAAACTGCCACACATTGGACATTTGTATATGCAGGTGGTACGTGCATTATTCCTGCGTATATTCGCGCATTTTATGTATATATATATATATATTTTTTTTTTTTTTGTTAAAATATTCATTTATATTAATTCTCTAGGGCCAGCGAAAATGCCCGATTTAGATGACAAGATAAGAAGATTAACAGATATGGGAATCGAAGAACATAACGCGAGAGTCGCTCTATCTTCATATAATTGGGACTTGGAACGCGCCACCGAGCACTGCCTCTTTAGTTAGTGATAACTATATAGTTAATTTATCACATCCATTCATTTTCTGCAACAAAATTTCCTTGTAATAATATCATGAATATTGATATCATTAATGATTTTACAATTGGAATTCTGCAGTTATATTGACAATAGTTGGATGATAAAAAGAAATTTTTTGAAGAGCTATCCAACATTTATCAATAGTAATCTATTTAATTTGTAACATAATAGCGCGAGGAAAAAATAATTAAAAAAAAATGGTTAGAATCAATAAGAAAAATTTTAAACATTTTCTGAGAGCTATACTATTCTGCATTACATTCTGTTCAAATTCCATTGTTGCTTAAGAAATAGCATAATTTTACAACAAAGTTTAAATTGATATATTCTTGATTGTTTATTTTGTACGTAATAATTCAATATATAAATACACAAATTAAATGATATAAATGCATAGTATCCTTTAATTCTGTGTATCACTTTCGAATTTTTATTTTATCTTTTATAATTAGCCTTTGATAATTTTAATTGCATTCTAGATTTTCAATTTGTATTTGAAATATTAAATTGCCAGTAAAGTCTAATACATACATTCATAGACTACATCTTTCAAATATAATTTGATCCCGTTTGCAGTTTTTATAATTTATAATCTATTTTTCATATCAGTGATGTACAAATTTTCTTTGTAAACTGTACATAATCTATACATTTCAAGAATATAAATGATGTAATCATTTATATTCTTAATAATAGAAATTGCATGTTCTAATAAAAATACATTTAATTTCAATAAAAAATATATTAGATAATCCGTTCGTATAAACTTCAAACAATAAAATAAGGAGCTTCTACCAGGCCATTACAATAAACGAACTTTGAAAGATGTAAACAGTAAACCTTTATTATTCTTTTATTATCATTTCATGGAACGTTTCGACCATACTAAGTCCTCATCAGCCATGTTTATAAATGAAATAAAAACCCTTAACAATAATTTATATGAATATATTAAAAACTTAGAAATTAATTTCTGTAACGGTATAAACAATGTATACAAAATGTATTCCGATTAATATATTTTTTATTCATATAAATCATTGTTAATTGTCAATAAAAGAATAATAAAGGTTTACTGTTTACATCTTTCAAAGCTCATTTATTGTAATGGCCTGGTAGAAATTCCTTATTTTATTGTTTGAAAAATATATTTCTTTTGTTCTTTAATACAAGGTATCTTATTATTACAGCTTATAAGTTTTTTATAGTTTTGCAATGTTTTTAATAAAAAAAAGTTATATTAGATTTTAAATTTTAATTATTTTAACTTGTAATTAAATCTATTATTTAATTGAAAAACAAATTTTATACTAATTTGAAATCTATCAATATTATTAAGTGTAATTTGGTCATCACTGATTTATGATAAATAAAAATGTTAATATACTATATATGCTTATGTTCAAAAAAAATTAATCTTTCATTTGAAAAAAGGTAGAAAAAAGCATAATTTATGTGAGCAAATCGCTTGTATATTATTGAAGTAAGATATGACTTGTAAAAAGATTCATATACTTGTTCGCCTTGATGTCAATATTTTATACTTGTACATTTTTAGTGTTTGTTTACAGGAAGTAAAACTGTTTACATCACAGATATGTATCTTTACAAGTATATATCTTGTCTTACTTTTTTTTGTAATTGTGTCATGCCGTGTACATTCCAGACTCAGGTGTAAATGGCATTTATTTAACGGCCTCGATTAAATTTTACATAAAAATATATAATTGGAGAGAAAGGTTCAAAACAAATTAAATTCGTTCTAATAACAATCCTGTAAAACTGTGAAACAACACAGCTAGAAAGAATGAAGATGGAAATTTAATTAGCCCATTATTTGTATAATAATGTATATGATGCAGAAATGCACATTGCTTTTTGTACAATCAAATGTTAAATCATATGCGTTACATAGCGAAAGGACGAATATCGAATTATAATTTCATCAGTTTGTAATATTAATTTTTTCATAAATCATGTTTAAAACAGTGATAACTAGATCAATTGATTGTAAAAATTGTTTTGCTTTTTATTCTTTTAAATATTTAGCTCACGTGTATTACTACCTACATATGAGTTTGTTTATGGATGTGGTTGTAGTTCCAACATCCTCTTTGTGATGTTTTAATTGCTGTAATGTTTAATAATCATGAAAAAATAAATAATTCTTTTTTCATTGTTCCGACTGGATTCTAATCTCTGTATACAGATTTATTCCTTATATTTTTCTCAGAAATATAAAAAAACATTCTTTTATTCACTAGTACATAAATTTTTATATTATTTTATTTGTTAATAAGTATTTAATACAGATTTTCTTTTTTACCGTCTTACTTAATAATTGTGCAAATTATCCCAAAGCTGGCCAAACATAAATTTCTCGCTAAATTTCTTGTACTATGCATACAAAAACAATACCAAACAATATTTGTAAAATCAACTATTGTGATAAGTTGCTGAAAATTTTGTTTTCTGTTAAAAGTACTATTAAACTTAAATCTCAATTGTACTATGTACAAATATGACTTGATATTATAAACATGAAATAAATTAGTAGCAATAATTATTGAATTCTCTCAGTAATT